GTGTTTTGCAGTTGTAACTCAGTAGAAAACATTTTATTTGCCGAAAGTGAAAGATCCACACGACAGAAAACTACAAAGGATGAATACAAGCCACGACCATAATGAGGATAATAGAATTGGGTTTTGACAGACTTTTAGTATCGAGGTTGTATGATAGTTTTGGGAAAACAAAATTACTGTTTTGAAAACAGCTGAAAGGAAGTGATAGGAAACAAGGCAACTTCCGACTGCTGCGTTTTTTCAAAGTTCATAAACAACTGATTTCAGCGGACGCTAACTTTGAAGATAAAAAACCAAACGTGCATTTTGCTGAAATAGCGAACTGATGTTGGCGTAGTTAACGGCATAAGTATCATACTTTGAATCGAAGAAAGAAGATAATTTGGCAGCGTTTAGTATTATTTTTGAGTAAAGAAGCATGCCACAGTTTTGTTAATATTGGATCAAATACTGGTTTAATTTAAGAACAGGAATAAAATATCGAGCTCCTTTTCCTTGTTGTCCAGAAAAAATACGCAACGAGGTTTTCAAGGTAGAGGACTTGGAAATTAGGGTTTTACTTCCTTCGCTATGCCAAAAAGTAAAAATCGATAAAGCGGGTGTCTCAGTTTTTCAAGCCTGTATCACAGCCGCGCACCCCGAAAGAAGAAATTGGAGAGAGCGGCGTCCTCCTTTTTTTCTTTCGGGACGTTTGTGCGATTAATTGACTTGCATCTAATTAAACCACGGCTGAAAAGTTTATAACGTCCGGTCCTTCGACGCTACGGCATTTTAATTTCAAACTCAGCATCAATTTGCTGTCAAATGATTTAATTTGACAATAATACAAACACGGAATATTTGAGAGGTAGTCAGTAGAGGTAGTCATATTTGAGAGGTAGTCTTATTAAACAGAAATACAGTTAGCATGTACTTGCAACAAGAAAAACGTTGTCAACGTTTTGAACACTATTTTCATATGGAAAAGGAATGTTTTTTTGCATAAGTGTTTGCATAAGGTTTTCTGAGTTAATAGTGCTATTGTATAGCTTATGTGCCGATCTAGGTCTAGTGAGAATTTTTTTCTGAAGACCCTTCGACAAAAATAATCTATATGGTGAATGGAAAATCAAACTTCTAATCTTCAGCAGCAACTTCGTATGTTCTATCTTTCTCATGTCATCTGTGTTTAGAGGTATATACTTTAGGGAAATGCATTCTCGTTTAAACATTTAAACTCCTCTTTAATTACAACGCAAGTTTGTAAGAAAAAATCAAAAGAGAGAGCATGTTGTGTACAATTTAGGTGGGTTTTAAAACATTCGCAACTCTTCTTTCAATGTCTTTCTGGTAATTATTTTCGTGAAAATATTGGAAAGCACATTATTTTACAGATATGCCACCAAAGGGAAAACCAAAATTTGTGTCAAAAATGTTCTGAGCAATAGCTCCGAGGCAGCAGTCTGTAATTTGCCGTTGTTCTAAAAAGTGCAATGTGCAAAGGTGGAACACGAGCAATATGACTTGACTTCTCTTTTCACCGTTGATACGAATGAATAAAAATCCGCTTTCGTCTATAAAAATGAAAGGCAACCACTGAAACTAGACTTGGTAGCTCACATCATGTTGTAGTTCAAAACACTTTTTCGGCTTTAATATTTTTACCGAGCGTTAGACACTTACCGGATAGCAGCATATACAACTATTATTCAGGAACACCACACTATGATAGTAGTAAAAAAAGACACGAATCGCGCCAGT